TCGGACAAACACCAGTCGACATGGCAACACAAATATGGTGCAAGAAAATTCGTGAAGATGACCAATTTGATGTGCCTGAGAAGCTAGATTCCGAAAATATTCCTACAGCATCTGATAAAAAAGAAAAGAAACCAGAAGACAAGGAGCCTGCTAATCATACTCCAGTCTTTGATCTTTTGGTTCCTTATTTACCACGTACAAAGGACAATCCAGCAAGTCGACGCGTTTTTATTTCTTTCGATGATGTGAATCGATATGTTAAAGAGTTCACCGAGCAAATTTCTGAAGAGGAAGAGGAAGATGAAAACGAAGTGAAACAAATACACAGCTTGGGAATCAATCCGCCGCCTCTTTTAGCGTTAGAGGTTTAAATATTACATGTAATTAGGTTATCAATAAATTTACACAAATACATGTATTTCCTTTAGTATTCGTTCATTTTATGTCAAGCGAGAAAATTACATGTATTTGTATTATGTTACACTTTGGTTAATAACGATAATATTTTTCGATAGCATAGAGGCCATTGGAACGATTCATTCCCCACATGTACCGGATATTTGTTTCAAATGTTCCGTCCAAATTCAGTATACATATTGTCAATTCACATAGAATAGCAAAGAGAATAATGTTCCAAGCTGTAAAATTATTTATTGGCTCCACAACGCATTTTTATTTTATCCATGGATTTCTACCCACACCTTTTCAATTTCCCATATTTAATATGCAGCGGGAGTATAATAGTTTTAGGCGGGACAATTAAAATGGGGATTGAAAAGTTATTTAAATCATCAATTTTATAAGTGTGTCTATTGTTCGATTTCCTCAATAATAAATAAATTCATGAGGTGTGTACTAATCAAAAAACTAAACTACTAGTTGTCACAATGAGTGGAATTGCAACCGGTTTATTTCTCTATATTACCACGACGAACAAGAAAAATTTGACACTAACAATGAAGCTGTTAAAACCAATCGCACGAAGTACATGTATGTGTATATTTTTTTGAGTTACTGTGTTCTTGGACTTGGATGATGGCTTTATTTCTCTAGTTACAAAATCATATGACACGCTCCTGTCAGTTCTGATTTGTGGTATTTCTGTTTCCTGCCAGTGTAAAAGTCACGATGCATAAGTCTCTTAGCATTCAAATTAGAAAGTTCTGTGCTCGCAACCAACATTAGAAAAACGCATTATTTTTCGCATACCTGTACTAATGCCAATCTTTTTTTACATTGTACGTATAACGATGGCCGTAGTTGGAATATCGTTATTGTTATGAATTTGGCAGCATTGTTAGGTTAGATGGAAGCTTGGGAGTTGATTTGGTTAATCAAGAAAGGAAAGTATGATTTCATTAATAGAAGAAAAAGACAATAATGTCATTGATACGCAGTCATTCTGTAGAAAGAAACGACACAAAGAATACATGTGCTACACAAAATTCTAGAGTGCAAAGAACGATGCTGTGCCGTTATTTGAATTCTTTGTTTTCACGCTAAGATAAAAGCAGTTTGGATGCAATATTTTTTTTCTATACTTTTCTATTCACGTATTGATAAATTAAGATCGAAAAATGTCAACAACGAAAGTTGAAATCGAAAAAACGGCAACGAAAAAGCTCAAACATCAAATCCATTATTATGAATCCGGCGAAGTAGATATCATGGTAGAAAATACGGTGTTCCGCGTACATCAAACAATATTACAACTTGCTTCTGTAGTATTCAGCGACATGTTTTCACTTGACCTAAAGTCCAAGGATAAAATCCCTAGGGTTCCGCTTTCCGATGAGAATGCAACAGACTTTGCGACTCTTTTGGATTTTCTATATCCAAATGTATTTCTAGCAATAACTTGGCAAAATGTAGAGTCTTTATTACGATTAGGAGATAAATACATTATTCCAGAGGTTCAAAAAGCGGTCGAACATTTCTTAGAAAATAATCCGAGATTCAATCCATTGACGGCATTAATTTTGTCTGAAACATTTGAGTTTAAAAAAGCATTTAAAGAAGCTTCAAAGTTGGTTATTGACAACTTGCCGAAATTCCGTAAATTGGATGATTTCAAAAAACTTAATAACGCCACACAAACAACACTCTACACAAGATATTTTGATTATATTCAAGTATTGGAGTCTCTTAAAGATTATCCACATGCTTCTCAACTTAATACTAATGATAGCATTAAATTCAAGTCACTCCACGCAATACCATTTATTTCACCCTCGGCAGCTATCAATAAATTTTGTCAATTGAAATTCAAACAAGATAATAGTGAAGAATATTGTCGAAGTCTTTTTGGAAATTTTGAAAAAATTCAAAGTGAGAAAGATGTGGAAAGAGCGGATCGTTATCTTTTTATCGAATTGTGATTGGCTATTATTAAGCTCCGATCGGATCGTGAACCGACAATTTCCAAAAAATCGGATTCAAAAAGTAAGCAATTCCAATCCAAAATCGGATCTGATGTTTTGAGTCCGATTGTTTTCGGATTGAACCATAGAATTATAGATATTTTACATTAAATATTTTAATTGCATTTTAGTAAACTTTTAATTCTCAAAATGTAATGACTTTAAGAGCTATAAATACACATGATACTTTATTTTGATAATTAGATTGGTATATCAATATAAAATTACTAATAAAAATTCAAATTTTAACTAATCTTTATAATTTTTTTTATATTAAATAAAGAATAATCTAAATTAACTTTTTTATTTTAATTATTCTATTATTCTATGAATCATTCAGCATTCAAATTTGGATGCTAAAATTTTTTTATACTATTTTTTCATAATTCTGCCAAAATTTCTTAAATTATTTCTCCATTTTTAAGCTAAAATAAATATATGATTATTTACTAACTCTGTATTATATCTTTTGTATAATCTGATAATTACAATAAGAAATTAAAAAAAAAAATAATAAAAATCAATTAAAAAAATTCTATATATCTTATATAGCTTCAAGTTTAACAAGTACTTTGCCTTGTAAATTAAAAATAATTTTTGATAAAGAAGAGTATATTTCACTTTTGACTTCTTGTCAGTATCTCTTGAATAATTCAGAAGAAGGATGAGAATAAATTAAATATAAAAAATATCTGTAAAAGAAAATATAAATTAACAAGAGCTATATAATGAGATTTATCATTATCATTTTCTGATTTCAAACTATTTATTCATATAAGATAATCTCAAAAAGTATTTATTTAGCTACTAATATATTTTGATATTATATTTCTAAGTTAATAGATTTTTTTTCTTTTTTATAACAGATATATTAAATACTATTATTAAAAATACAAATCTTTATATTATTAAAAGATATCAATATTACAAATAGATTTTAACTAAAACTTACTTATAAGAAAATTTCTTATCTGAATTATTTTGATTATTTATCAAGAACTTTTCAAATTATCATCTCTTAATCAGTATTAGAATAAAAGTGGAAGACTTTTTATTTATTCTATCTTAAAACAAATACTATTAAAGTATTTTGAGCAAATAAAGAGATATCTGCATATTTCATTCTCTATTATATCTATTAAAAATTATTTTGATAAATTAGAGCTATTGCTTTTGCATATTCAGAATATTTTAAAATAACTTTATATATCAAGTATAAATATTTTTATAAACAATGTAATAATTTTGATTGGGTTATCTTTCTTTAGATCTCTTTTAGTTTAGATCTTTATTTTGTGCTATCTATATAACAAATTAGCTTTATATTACATTTTTAAGAAGATCATTTTCACTCTGGATACACAGATAATCATTATGTATTTAATACATC